TAAGCCCTTTTCTGTGTAAAATTAGAAGTACTGGGAGAAAAAAGTCTGACAATATTTATTACACAAATCATAACTGTTCAAGAAGGGATCTGTTTGATGCAATGCACCCCCACGGCTGCCTGACACGACCTGCCTGGGTGCCTGTCAGCACCCACTGCCAAGTAAAGCTCAGGAAGAACAGACCAGTGAAGCCGAGGCTAGATCTAGTGCAACGGTGGGATTCTGATCAAACACAGCATGTTCTCTTGTATACCACATGCCCCCAAATAAGACACGTCCCTTATTTTGGAAGAAAAAATATTCTTCCAGCCATGGCTGAATGCTGACTGCAGGGAACCCTGACTTCAGTGGTTGTGACTGCAAGATGGTTAAAGCTGTAGCTCTGGTGCTGACAAGTGAATGCCACCTCCTCTCTCCCTGTGGCTGGTACAGGGAGAAGCATGGTAGATATCTTGCAACGGAGTCTGCCTACTTTGACACAAGAAGAAAAATTAGCTTCCTCTCTTAAGACATGCACACCAATTCTGGAGGGGTGATTTATGGGGGGGAAAGCATGTGTGGTATTTGAGTAAATGTCATATTTGAGAGACCATGAACTACAGCTAAAAAACCACTTCAGAATATTCAAAATTACTGTATTTTTTTGCATACAACGCACCCTCAAGTAAAATATGCAGCTTCTTGTTGAAAGGCAGAAAGAAATTTAAACAACCTTTCCTTGAGAACGTCTGCAGGAGAGGAGGAAGACAGAAAACATCCATAGCCAGCAGCTAGGGCAGGGGTGGGCAAAATGCGGCCCACCAGGATATTCTACCTGGCCTGCGGGGCCCCTAAAAAATGTAGAAAATTAATATTAATCTGCCCCAGGTTGCCTGCCATATGGCCCTCGATGGCCAAAACTCAGTAAGCGGCCCTCTGCCTGAAATAACTGCCCGCCCCTGAGCTAGGGAGTCTTGCATGCAACATTTGTTGCTTTATTTTTGCTTTCTCCTGACAGAGGCTTAAGCAGCAGAAACTGCTGTCACCATATTTTACAATCTAAACCTCAATTTCTAGTCACTGGATTTTGGAAAGAAAGTGTGTTGGGTTGTATGTGAGAAAAAATATTGTATGATCAAGACCACACAGTAGCTTAGTGCTTGCAGTTTTGATTAAACTTGAAGTTTTGATTAAACAAGTTTAAGTTATTCATGAGCCTATTGCTTTAAACTGTTTTTATATGAGGGGAATTTAAACATTGTGAACAGGTCAAACTGGCTTCTTGCTGTTCACTAGTCTCTGTTGATAAGATCATGACTACTCAGTAATAAGCAAGAGGCTTGTTTGTGCCACACCAAGTCCAGGAGTTTCCTTGTTTCAGAAAAAAGAGGGACTTGGGAAACAACTTGTAAGGGACAGAGCATGGACTTCAGGACTGTTTATGTGCAACCAATGGATTTTAGTGTTCTAAAAGAATAGGAGAGTTATGTGTTATCCCAAGAAACCGTGCATTTAATCCCATGTTGGAAGGAATTCAGTTTAGCATAGGAAGACAGATTTACAACACATGGTATTACTTGCATTGTATGGTTATTTTAAAAAGCCTAATTTAAAATTAATCTATGGACTGAGCCAACTCAATTAATGTGCCCCGCCAATGGGAAGCAGGTTTTAGACACAAAACATAAAAGAAATCATGATGTCTCTGCAGGACATAGACATTAAGAAGCTTCCTGCCAAATTGAAGATGTACAGATGTATTTATGGTATTGTCCAGGTCAGAGTGGAAGAGAATGCATGAAGCACATCATAAATTGTCTTCTGGGACTATTAGGAAAATGGCTATAGCAATCCTGCATCTAAATTTTGACCTATCTCATGAAAAAGGGTGATGCACATTCCCAGAATCTCTGAGTTCCCTTTGCAGCTCCATTGCTTGTGTTTGTGCCTGACATTGATGTTTATATCCAACTGGCTGCTGTCCAGTACAGGCGACTTAGAAGGTGACATCTACAAGGAATGTCTGCAAGTCCCGTGTCTGATGGCAATTCACCCAGATTTATACCTGGGAAACCTCACAAACCGCTCACTGCTCTAGAAAAGAGCAGCTATCCACATATTAGTGTCATGTGCTTGCAGGGGGAAAAAAAGCCTTGATTAGGAATCAGGATAAGCTAAAAGAGCAGAAAGACACTGTACTGCACCTGCTCCAATTCATTTGGTGGAAGGTCCCAATAGAAAAGGTAGCAACAGGCAACATGGGACAGTGCTGTGTAATCCCTAATCACAGGGCGTCCCTACACGATATGCTAAATGTGTAGTAGCCTAATATTACACGGCAGCAGCGTGTCATGTCAAAAACAGTGCCAATATGCTACTGCACAGCAGTATCACTAAAAAGATGTGCTATGGCACTAATGCGCAGCAGTGCCAGTCACCGCGCATTTAGTACTTGATTATACGAGTACAAAACATAACATGCAGTAACTACGGTGCGTTAATGAACGTGCAGGCGCACCCACAGGACATATGAGCAGGGCGACCAAGCCAATGTTTTGATTTCGGCCCAAGTACACCACGACTGACGGCAGCACCGTCGCATCCACTCTCAGTTTGGAAAGTGTTTGTGTAATTAATGTAGATTCAGGGTTTCAAAACGTGGCGGAACAAATTTAGATGCAAGGGGAAAACGTGCATGCAGTGTAAACAGAGAGAGAGAGAAGGGAAGGGAGAGAGATACTGGGAAGAACTGTGATGATTACAAATTAATCTCAGGAGCTGCATTATTATTACTCAGGGTTAAATGTGCGTGACACCGATAACGTTACTTGTGCCATTAAACCGATAAGAAACAGCAGGAAGCGGCGGCGGCTGACTTCGTCCAGGTAACAAAGAGGTGCGGTCGCATTTCACGATGCTGGAGCCCGCCCAGGAGCCCCAAGGGGGCGGGGAGCGGGCTGCTCTCAGCAGCCCGGAGGGAGAAGTGCTGCCAGGAGGGCCCGCCAGCGCCGCGGGGCGGGTCCGGGGCCCGCGAGGTGTTCCGCGTGGAGCCAGGGCAGGGCAGCGACTCTCACCCCGCGGGTGGCGGCCCAGAAGGCGGTGGCCAGGACACAGGACACAGGGCAGGGGCGCGCGCGGACTGGACACGTGGGTTGTCCTTCGCAGGAGGAAAACGCGGGGGGTCCAGGGCTGCTTGGTCCCCACCCGCCCGGCCCCGGGAGCCCCCGCGCGCGGACACTCACAGCATGGCGGGGGGCAGCGGGGCGCCGTGCGCCATCCCAGTCCGGCAGCGCCTGAGGCACACGGCCCGTCACGGGCGGCACCCGCCAGCAGGCAGCGGCCCACTCGTACCCCTTCCGCGCCCTGCTCCGCCCCCCGGCGGCATGCTAATGAGCCGCCTGCCGATTGGCCTGCCGGCGTGTGGCGGAAGTAGGCTGGGATTGGCCAGCGAGGCGCTCCGTCAGTGGCCAAGGGGGCGGAGCCGGTGCGTGACGTCCTAGACCCCGCGCGCGACCAGCTCGCCGGCCAATCAGCGAGCGGCTGCGGCGTCAAAGGGAAGGGGCTCTTAAAGGGGCCTGAACGTGGGGTCGGGGTTGCCTGTGCACGTTGGGCTCTGCCAGCAGAGCGGATCCCGCGGGCTGATCTGATCTGGGAAACGACAACCCACCAGGGCCGAGCATGAGCTGGAAGCCCAGGAGCGCTCCCAAGGCCCGCTGCAGGCAGCATGGCCAGAGGCCGCCTGTTCAGGGTTGGATCCACCAACCGAGTTTGCAAACCTCTACCTTACGGGCAGGGCAGATCCGTGCGGACTCGCCCTGCGACGAGCGCCATACGCAAGCCTAAGGCCGACTGACTGAAGGCTCAGCTCTTGGACTTGGTTTGCTGTAAGAAGCTCCATCCAGCAAGAGCACCCCCCCCCGCAGCCGCTTCCTCGGCCTCACGAAGGGTTTTTAAACCTGAAAGCTTGCTAAGAAAAATTGAAGTTGGTCTCATAAGAGATACCAGATCCACCCAAAGAACCTCGTCTTCCTAAACGTCGAGGCATTTTATATTGGGCTCTAGTCTTTGTGCCAACCTGAGCTTATCGCACTATCACAAGGCCGCTCCTGGTGGCTGCAAGGATTTTTCCTTTCTAAATATGGATGCTGCGTATCACTCGTACTGTAACCAAGCCTGGCAGGTTTAGTTAGTCCATAGAGCGCGAATCTGCCCTGCCTTCTGCCTGGGCTCAGGCTAACCAGCTACCTGCCGCTCTTTGCTCATGGACAGCTAGTTTAAAGCCCGCGTGGGTTGCATCAAGATGAGCTGCTGTCATAACGGCAGGCAGAGGTGCTTGTATGCTCTGCAGACCATAATAGTCAAATGCTCGTATTAACACTTTGCTTCTTCAAAGCTTACACAAATATTTACTAAGTCTGCCAAAGTCACTGTAAAATGACAATGAATTTCATTACATTTTGAGATTCTGCCTGTGCTATTTTTCCTTTATTGTTATAAGTGACACTGCTTTTTAGCATATTACCATATTTTCTGTGTAGATGCTCCAATGTTGCTTGTAAGAATTATTTTAATATGGTCAAAGAACATATTTTTCCTTCATTTCATTCTCAGGAACATCTGACCTGATTTTGCGGACTTTTTTCTCCAAAACAGACTAAGCCAAACCAAATGGTAGATTTGAAATCAAATTTGAATCAACCTGCTTGCTGAGGACCTATCATAGATTGGCTCTTGTAGTCCAGGCACCCACATAGGTAACGTAGAGATATGGGGGGCACTTAGTTGCAGTCCGGAGTCAGTAGAAGGATCTGAGGGTCCACACACATCCAATTTGCTCTCTGCCTGCTGCCTTAATGGATGGGAATGAAGTTCACCCACTAAAAACAAGGCGCCTTCTCTAAAGCCCATCTGATCGCTGCAGGCAAGAAGTGAGAGCCAGACTGGGGTAATCACATATTCACACCTCAAGGCTTTGGGGACACATCAGGCAAGAGGGAAGAAGGTCTCCTGGAAGGCTACTTATCAGTCAGGGCCTTTCTCACCCTTTCTCCTTATCAGTTAAGCTTCTCTCATTGCATGTTCCCAATGGCATTTAACTGCTGTCCTCCATGTGCAGCCATGTGGCCCTGCATTTTCACCCTCCTCTGCATGATCCCATATCACCCTGGTTCCTTCTCTTCCATGGCATACTGTGTTGTGATCCAGTCACCACCAGTGCCACTGCTCCCTTTCTGGCCTGATACCAAGTCCTCTGCCTCCTCCTACACTGATGCCACTTCCCCTTCCTCTGCTCGCTGCCTTGCAGCCCTGCCTCTTCCTCCATTTGTTGCCTTGTAGTCCTGCTGTTCCTGCTTGGCGTGCTCCTCCACATTCTCCTTTGCAATTGTCCTTCCTCCTCCTCCTCCTCACGATGCCTCATGGTTGTTCCTTCTTGTCACCTCTTCTTCTTTATGGACCCTCCACCTCCTCCCTTGGATTCCTTGAGGTCCCAGTTCCTAGTCACCTATCTTTATTTTTCTCCCTCATCACTCCTTTATACACTCCCACTCCTTTCTCTCTCCCCACATCTGTCCCTGCGCACTCCCTCACAGGTCACAAATGACTATACTGCACTTGCTCGGGGATGCGGGGGGCGGTCAGGAAGGCCAAGGCGGAGATGGAACTGGGACTAGCTTCCCGGATTAAGGACAATAAGAAGTCCTTCTTTAAATACATAGGAGGCAAAAAGCGGGTTCCGGGTAATGTGGGGCCCCTGCAGGACACGCTAGGAAATTTGGTCGTCACACCAGATGACAAAGCCAACATATTTAACAATTTCTTTGCCTCCATTTTCCTGAGGAGGGGCCAGAACAGCCACCCCTGCCTGCTGGGCCCCCCTCAGGCCCCAGGGGAGGCACACCCAGGCCAAGGGTTAGTGAGGAACTAGTTAGGGAACTTGTGGAGTGACTAGACGTATTCAAGTCAGCCGATCCAGACGATCTCCACCCTCAAGTACTAAAGGAATTAGCTGAGGTCATTGCGGGACCCCTGGCACGGCTTTACGAGCACTCGTGGTGCACTGGAGTGGTGCCAGAGGACTGGAAAAGGGCCAATGTGGTTTCCATCTTCAAAAAGGGGAAGAAGGAGGACCCGGGAAAGTATAGGCCAGTTAGTCTTACCTCGATCCTGGG